TGGAAATAATTATTACAAGTTTGTCACACGCCCCTGCCCCCGCTTACTTCCCTGCTGAGTTTAAATTGGTAAAAGGATGGCGACAGTCACTGGGTTTTCAACTTCTTTTTATTTTAGTCACCCAACTTGTTTTCTACTAAAAATCTAAAGAATTTGCCATATTTTCAGTGCATTTACTTTAAGGGAAAGGAGGAGAGAGGAGAGAAGGAGAAGAAACATTATTATAATTAATTAAATTATTTTTTTACCTTCATGATTTGTAATTGGTCAAAATTAAGACCTCCCTCCCTCTGTTTTTATTATTATTATTATTATTTCTCTCAAATCATATAAGCTATTTAGGTTAAATATTACATTAGAGGATGTGTTTGTATAATAATTTTCCAATAAAACCCATAGAAAAAGAATTGAGTTCTAACTTTTTTAAGTTTGTAAAATCTGCAAAATTTTCTTCTTCTCATTGGATTACACTTTTGTAAGGCCAAAAAGCGTGGGGGGAGGGAGGGAGGGAGGGAGGGAGGGAGGGGGGGATTAATCTACACTCGTGAACTTAAAATTATCTTCAAAATCTTAATTAGAGAGAGAGAGAATTAATTTACACTCGTAAACTTAAAATTGTCTTCAAAATTTTAATCGTAAATATAATGAGGAATTACCTCATCATGAATTTCTCAAGAGAATCAATTAAACTCTTTTATGGGGAGAAACATTCAATTATCAATGAAATTCAAAATTCATTTTGGATAGATTAGAATTGAGTAGTCTAAAATATAATTTTTTATGGTATATTTAATAATAAACTACAAAAAATATAATTAACTAATCTTTTCCAATTTTCCTTTTCACTCACTAAAAAAATTTAAAATCCCTAATTTAGGACACGAAGCCTTAACTGTCATTACATTTTGCTATGGTACAAAATCTTATTTTACTTTACAGTAGATATGTCGGTACTTGGTACAATTGTGTCAAACAGCACCGAACACCATAAAAATTCTCACTAAAATAAGGGTCATATACTCACAATAGTTAGCTGCCCTAAGTAGTCAACACTATTTAAGTCCACATACATAATTGTTTATCTTTCTCCACATGCCTTCCTCATATTTATATCATAATCCGTTATATAAAGATAAATATGTCATTCTGAACTAATCAAGAAACGGATTAATTGACCTGCAGCTTTGGCTGCTGTGGTACTGTACTTTAAATTCTTGTCCCTTGACCAAATTTTTGAGTTGTAGGATAATTTATCCACATATGTTTAAATGGTTAAAAGTTTTAGTTTTTATATTAAAAAATTTAAATTTAAATTTTAAGATAAATAAAAATAAAAGTTTTTAAAAGTTTATTTTTTAAAAAATAAAATAA